CCCTCTCGAGAACTTCTGTGAAGGCTTACCAGAGCTGCCGGCTGAACAACATCTTATCATGACTATGGGCTATCTGGAAGTCCTTCATGGACAAATCTCACCGTCTTGACATCAAATGCATGTAATGTGTCTATAAATGTGCTGCTGGTTGAGTTTGTTGATGTCTTAAATCGTGTCCTGATATAGGACAAGATGTGAAGAGATCTTTGTTGTAATACCACTATCCATCCTCATGGTCTTTTCCCTTTTTCTATCTAAAAAGTATTCTGATAAAGGATAAGGGGCTGCGCTCCTGTAGCAGCAACGTGCACTCCACCCATCTTTCGGATGACTGTACAAAGATAATCTCACTGTATCTCAGTACAATGATAATAAAGTTATTCTGAGTAAATAAACTAAACAGCAGGAAAGACTGTGAGAGGAAGTCGCTCTTCGTTAAACATCAACGCTACAAAGACTTTAAACTTCCTGCCTAATCTGTACAATCTGAAGCCTGAGTCAGAGAATTTCTGCTGGATTAAAATCCACCAACTCTTTGATGGTGATGGAAGTGGGGATCTCGGTCCACAGGCGAGCGAACTTGACAGGGGTCACCAGCTCCTGGGGGTCGCGGTCCACGTGGGCATGCAGCATGAGGCGACAGAAAGATGCCCGCAGGTCAAAGGGCAGCGTCTCGTCCATCATGCAGAGGAAGATGAGCTCCACGTCCAGCTGCTTGGAGATCTCATCGATGGCCAGGTACTGACGGTCCAGACACATGCGGGCGAAGAGCTTCAGCTGGTACCTGAGGAGTCCGCAGAGACGCAACGCGTCGGTTTATAAAACTCTGACGGGGTCTGGACGGTGTCTGAGGTCGGACGTACCTGTAGTAGGTGAGGACGTTCTCATCGTGAGCGTTTCCTTGTCTTGCCTCCTGGGCCAGCTGCCTGATGCTCTTCTCCTGTTTCTCGTTGGTCTTATCAGTCCAGACCAGCCACACCTGAAACCAGGAGACCAGCAAAGCTCAAAGAGAGCAATAAACTCTGTTCATCCAAGAAACACCCACTCAACACTGCAGGGAAGAGAACACATTCCTTTACAGAGCTTTCTGAGAACGTCTGTGCATATTGTCCCAGTTGGACGTCCCAGTCCTGCTGTTCTTTGGAGTCTTTCTGTGTCCACTGGAGACATTTTGGACAGACTGGTTTAGTGGGATTATCTCTTTAATCACAATACGATGTGCCCTTTGAGACAACTTATCACTCTACTCTTTGTGTGACGACTTCACACACAACAAATCCTTCAGAAAGGTTGGACAGAAAATCCAGTTCAAGGTTTGTTGTGGTGTGTTCACATCCCAGCATGTCCCTGAATGTTTCACAGAGACGAGAAGGACGGGTCTACCTCGTCTTCGTCTCCATAGTCGTCCATCCCAATGTAGTCTCCCTGATCGCCACCAGAGTGAGCATCTTTGGACACGCGGCGCCTGGAAAAAATAAATAACGTCATTAAAAAACATAATCCAGTCAAAATGTGCTACAGTGTCGAGCTGCTGCTAATCTACACGGGATTATCGTGGGTTTAAAAAGCCTTTGGTGTCAGCTCTGTCGCCCCCTGTTGGTTGAGTTGATCATGTAACGTTGAGGGGAAATGGAAATAATTCTCTTCTGGTTTTGTAAATGTGGACGTTGCGACATACAAAGTGCTCGTCAAATAAGAGTCACAAATAAAATGTCTCTTTTTGCTCCAAATTAAAACAAACAGGTGAAAACGGATGACGTCATTAAAACAAACAGGTGAAAACCATCCATCCATCCTTCCATTTTCTTTACCCGTTTATTCCATTTTGGGTCACAGGGGTCGCCGGTGCCCATGTCCAGCAATCACTGTGCGAGGGGCGGGGTACACCCTGGACGGGTCGCAAGTCCATCACAGGGCCACATAGAGACAAACGAGACAAACAACCATTCACTCTCTCACTCACACCTAGGGACAATTTAGAGTTACCAATTGGCCTAACATGCATGTTTTTGGTCTGTGGGAGGAAACCAGAGTACCCGGAGAAAACCCACGCATGCACGGAGAGAACATGCAAACTCCACCCAGAAGGCCCCTGGACCGGGGTTTGAACCAGGGACCTGCTCGCTGAGAGGCAGCAGCTCTACCAGTTGCGCCACCGTGCGGCCCTACAGGTGAAAACGGATTACGTAATTAAAACAAACAGCTGAAAACGGATTACGTAATTAAAACAAACAGGTGAAACAGATGACGTAATTAAAACAAACAGGTGAAAATGGATGACGTAATTAAAACAAACAGGTGAAACAGATGATGTAATTAAAACAAACAGGTGAAACAGATGACGTAATTAAAACAAACAGGTGAAAACGGATGACGTAATTAAAACAAACAGGTGAAAACGGATGACGTAATTAAAACA